ATATTGCTAGGTGATAATGCTACGCAGAATCAATGTCAGCTATCTGCAATCACGCTCAAAGAAAAAGAAAGAGAAAAATACCGCACAAAAACGACAGATAACATACACATTTTGAGGTGATATGTGTATATCCAATAACTACAGTTTGTTTATATGTTACAGTTTATTTATTATTATTTATTATTCACTTATTTATCCTAGGGAAACCTCTCAGTGAAACACTGATTTCCAGAGGTGTCCAGCAAATCGGTTAAGCCCATCAAATATTATAAAATACCAAATATCTAGAAAATAAACCGTACTACTTAAGAAACCAAAGATTAAATTCCATGTACCAGCCATGTACATATATTTGGAAACTCAACAATAACTAATAATCAAAACATCGACAATAAATAACCAACCTCACAAACAGGCATTAAAACAACAAGGATGTGTAAGTGTGTTTAAAACTCGATAGTGTTGCAGGTAGTGGGCTCTTAAGAGCAGTGGGCAACGTGTTGAATGCATAAGTTCCACGAACAATGAATCTGCATTTACCCGAGTTGGATTTACTGAATGAAATAGAGGGATCCCAATACGACGCTTTTAGTATCGATCTGCGCACTTCTGCATTTGAAAACGAGGCTGTATGTGTCAGCTTCAATTCTTAATACAATCAGATGATTGAAAATAAGGAGTCAAGACACAAATTATATAAAGGTATGTTAAATTTAGACTTTTCAGACTGCAAAATTTTGTGTAAAAAGTCTTTCAGGATGACTCAAAACGTAATATCAAAAGAAAAATTAATGGCAATTTACTGCGGACTAACGCACCTGCGATGGTCGTTGTGCACAGACGGTGCACGTTGTGCGGATGTGCACAGACGGCGCTCATGTGAAATCCCTCTATGATTAAGGAACCTTGAGAGCCTGACCAAGTTAATAATGATGTGAATCAGTGGTATGAATGAAACAGTTGCACAGTTGCGGTGGTAGTTGCATAGTTTACTTTAATAGACCAATCTATTGATCAAGTTACCACAAGAAGGTGGAGCGAGAGCAGAAACTTGCAATACTTGAGAATGACACAGGACACGTCCGTTATCGATGGCGCTAAGAAAATGGACAAACATGGGGGTGGCGCTGCAATGCATGTTGGTAATAGAGGGCGCACTACAGTTGATCAAGTTTTAACAAATAAAATATGGCACGAAGGAAATTTACAAATATAGCGACTGTTTGGGTAGGATGAGTGCAGTGGCCAAGAAAAACTAAATGCAACTAGGCTATAAAACAGATCAAAGGACACCTCCAACTGAACAATGTGAAGATAGGCAAGAAGACATTGCATCACTATCTCTTCCCTTCCAGGGGAGAGAAAAGGAAACGGTGAAAAAATCACCCAATACAATATGACAAACGGCTTTTTTCAGAACTAAAGTTTTAACTATAACTTTCAGTCTGGTTTTGGCAGTGGGTCAAACATTAATTGACCATCTATTTCCGACACCCAAGGCTGTATTTCCTTTGTAAGTTACTGTCCTCAAGACTTAATTGCAATTGGGAAATTGCACACAAACTATAACAATAAATTGCCAGTTACTGCACGGAGTCACCTGAAATCCCTGGGTATTGCAAGAATCACAAGGCGAGGATGTCGTGCTGGTAGACAAAAATGGAGGCAAATACCTGTCATATTAAACAATCGTCCTAGTGATAAGAGAGAGAGTGCCCGACTGCCACCAAGGAGAAGATTCCTGGCTGATGTCAACAAATAAGCTGTGACAACTTACATGGCACCAGATTCCTTCTTGCCAAGGATTTTTCTTACCAATGCACGGTCAGTTCTCAACAAGATGGACGAACTAAAAAGGATGCTGAAACAAGAACAATCAGATATTGCTGTAGTCACAGAATCATGGATCACCACAGACATAACACGTGAACAGTATGGAAATGAGAACTTTAATGCATTTAGTAAATGCAGGCAAGCTAGACGAGGTGACGGCGTCCCCATATACACCCATGAAAACATCAAAGCGGAGTTATTGGTCGAGATTAACATGCCTCCTGAACTGGAAGTAATGTAGATTATGGTGTCACATCCTAGATTGCCAAGAGCAGCGCCCTGCCTTCTTGTGGCTGCAGTATACATCCCACCGGAGTCGTTACATCAAGAACTCCTGTTAAACCATCTTGTGGAAACTGTAGATTATGTGCGCACGCGCAAATCCAAAGCTGGTTTTTATGATTTTAGGGGATTTTAACCAGACTGATATCAAAGCTCTATGCCTGGGCAATGCACTGAGGCAGATTGTCACAAAGCCAAGAAGGGGCGACGTAGTTTTGGATTATACTGTCACCAATATCCATGAACTTTACTTCGCGCCTGAAGTTAAGGCCCCTGTTGGCTATAGTGATCATAACTGCATCAGCCTAGTGCCCAGGCAAACCAAGCTGCCTAATGTTGTCCGAACTCTCACAGTACAACCTTTGACTGATTCAAAATTAACCAGTTTGTTCGATGGGTCCAAGACCAGACATAAGATGAGGTTTACAGAGCAGATGGAATTACACTCCAAGGTTGATGCGTTTATAAAATCCTTAACCTTCACACTCCTCTGTCCTCCAATAGGTGAAGGATTGAGGAGGGTTAGGGTTAATAATGGCATTGACCTGGCTTTCCCTTGCAAAACGGTGCAACTGCATCCAAGGGACAAACCCTGGATGACAGATAAAGTCAAGGGTCTCATTCAGATGCAACAAAAGGCATTCGCTGGTGGTGATTTACAGCTGAGGCGGAAATTGAGAAACCTGGTCAAAAATGAGATAAAGAATGCCAAATCATCTTATAACGTCAACAGAGAGTGACGATTACAAAAGGTAGCACAGGGGAAATGGCATAGGGAGATTGGATCACATGTCAAATGAATAAGATTCATACTACCATCCACATATCAGGAATTGAACCAGATGACCATGGTGCTGTTGCTGATGCAATTAACCAACACTTGGCCAGCTTTTCACAAGCACAGCAACTAATCATTCCTACTGAGTTGTCGGCTTATCTTCAAAGTCCTGAAGCTGCTCCTCATCTAAGTTTGGGATATTTATAAGAAACTGAAAGCAGTGTCTGTTTCCAAGGGAAGAGGACCGGATAACATCTACCAGATGGTGCTGAAAGAATTTGCATACGAACTTTAGCTATCCGGTCATGGAAATTATCAATGCATCATTTAAGCAAGGGATTGTTCCAAACCAATGGAAACTAGCCAATGTAATTCCAGTACCTAAACAGACACTACCCTCACTTGACAAATTGAGAAAACACGCCCCGAAGTGGATGTACATATATCTGATCAAAGACTTCTGGTTGTTGACAAGGCAAAATTGTTAGGAGTGATATTTCAAAATGATTTGAAGTGGGATGAACAAGTTGATGTTATGTATTGTAAGGCAACTAGGAAACTGTTTATGATGAGAAGACTCAAAGAAGCCAGGTTGGATGTGATATTCGCCCAGTTGCCGAATATGCTATCCCCCCGTGGAACGCTGGTCTTACCCAGAGGCAGGTTAGCCACCTTGAGAAAATCCAGAGACTTGTTTGCCGTTGTATTCTCTCAAGGCAGTATATTTCATACTCTGAAGCCTTAAATTCCTTGCAACTTGACTCACTCCAAGATCGGACAAAGAAACACTGAAGGAGATTTGCGGAGAAAGCAAGCACCTCTGGGAGATTCTCAGATTGGTTTCCTGCACCTGAGAGTACATTTGGGATGGAACTATGCAAGGAACTGACATATTGATCATATAAGTGTAGAACAACTAGGTTTAGGAAAAACCCACTCCCATATCTTACAAACTTAATGAAGACTTAATTTCCCCAAATGACAGCACAACATGAACTTTTAAATCCTGCCCTTCATATCTGTTATTGCTTTATTTGTGGGTTTAAGCAATTAATTAATTTCTGTGTGTTTTATATTTAATGAACCTTGCCTTGTTAATGGTTTTAAGTGGTTAATTTTTGTGCATTTTATATACCGAGTTCTGTCTTGTTTATGGTTTTTAAGTGGGTAATTTATTTTTGTGTGTCTTTATTTAACCAGTCTTGTCTTGATTATGGTTTTAAATGGCTCATTAATCTTGCGTGTTTTATATAGGTGTTTGATTAATTTGACTTAAATTTTGTAGATTTTAGATGGTAAATGGTTAAACTGATATAATTTATGATATATGAATTGTATAGATGTCGCAATTCATTTTTTTACTGCGATGACATCTTTTGTCAATAAACCATAACAGCTCTTCAAAATATGAATGGACACTGTGGTCAAACTACATAAACTACATTTCTCAATAAAATGGCAAAAGAAAATTGACCAAAACCAACAAGACAAACAAAAGAAAACCACATTTCAAAACACTGGTTCCCACAACTTACAACTACATGGAATATCAAAAACCCAAACCTGAGCTTCCCAAGCCCATAAAGTGAACAATAACTATAACTTAAAACACTTGGAATGCACTTTCCACAATATATCAATATATTTCATTTATTGTTTCATCACAAACTGTTCAAAGCAATCCCTCTTCTCCAATACTGAGAAAACAGCTCTTGGAAAAGGACTTAATTTTGTCTCAGCCCAAGCTAAACCCACCAGACGCTCACTCATAACTACCAACCAATTCCAAAGACAAATGAGAATTGCATTTACCTTATGCACACCGATGCTCTCAAATAAAAACCATGTAAACCACCATCCTTGTGGTCCCCCAAAACAACACACAATCCCACACTTAAAGACCTATTTGGAAACCACCAAAATGGAACTAGCTCACATCAGATTGAGAAATTCCCTCTAAACACCTCCAAAGAAGAACTCTAAACTGAATGCAAACTCAAAAACAAACCACAAAATGTCATCAAACCCTACAAAAAGGCATAATGGACAAAATTTATAGCCAGTATAAAAGGGAAGTCTACACTTTCAAATCAGGTAACTACAATACCTTCGTGATGTGTTCCTCTGAGTGCATTGCTGTCTTTACTCAGTCTAACCATGATGATCTTCCAGTTGCTATTGACAGCATCAAACTCTGCTGATTCCCGAGGTAACTGCTTCCTGATGTCCTCACCAAGAAAAATGTTCTGCAAAGTAAAATTGATACTAATTCCTAGACAGTATTTCAAAAAGACCCAAAGGCAGAAAATCTTAAACTATGGAAATATCATTAGAGAAAGAATTATTTCATTGTCAACATGTCCTTTGTATTTTCTAATTTTTCTCAGTTCATACATTGAATACACTGTACAATGTTGAAATCAAAATCTAAAACTTTTGACATCAAAACCAGGATACTAAGACCTTGGGGTCCAAAGTCAAGACTGATACCAAGGCATTATGAGTAGAAGTGAAACAAGGACCTCAGACCAATCAGCAAATATTGGTCAAACTAGAACAGAGAAGCCACCATAACTCGCCGCGTCATATGGATCTAATTTTTTTTACTACAAAAAAATGATTTTATGAGACATCCATGCTGCTAAATCAAGCAAGGAAATCATAATATTAAACAAATGCAAAGGGGAAAAAAGTGAAACACGTTTGTTCCGTAACAAATAAAAAGCTGTTTTGGAATTTTCCTTTGAGTCTTTGAATGCAAAAACTCAAGGAGGCCACTGATGGGAATGGAGCCCAGTACTCTTTTTTTCAGGAATTAAGGTTTTTACCATGGTACCAATACATGTAGTGTCACTGACTTAGTGCCTCAAGTATTTCAAGAACTACACTATCTGACCTGAGACTAACACCATTTAAAGTATTTTCAAGATGTATTTTTGCGTTAGGGGAGATGTTAATTTATATAACGGGGTTTGCCCTTACCCAACGTATACATTAACATCTCCCCAACGCAAAAGTACATCTTGAAAATAGTTCGCGGTACCCGCTGTTTCACCTGACTCAGACCAGCCAGCGGACCCCGGCAAGCTCGGTGGTCGAGTGGTTAAGACGTCTGTACTGGTAAGTAGGAGGTCGTGGGTTCGAGTCCCACCCGAGTACGCTTGTGACTTTTTTCGCAAGCTCTCGGACAAGCACTGAGCATACAGTGTTTATTAATATATACGCTGGGTAAGGGCAAAACCCGTTATATAAACCATTTAAAGTAAGTGTGTATTGTAAGCATAAGGGTCACTGTATCTATGAATTTAGAAGTGATTCCAGCAAACTCTACCACAGATATTAATTAAAAGTCTGTTTTTGATTGTTTTCAACCTGCCACCAGAGGGTGCTCGAGTATTTCATGAAATCACTGGTACAGGTTTTGAAGAATACTATTTGACTTCAGACTAACACCATTGAAAGTAAGTTGTATCTACTACCAACTTTCAATAATAAAGCACTTCCTGTTTCGACCATTTTCAACCCGAAGCAAGGGTCATGCAATTTTACGGAGTTTCAAATTTAAAATTAAAGAACATAGACTGCTTGTAATTTGACACCTGATGATGTCATCATGGCATAATGATTCTGTTCAAAGCCAAGTTTGTTTCGGCCAGAGCCCAAAACAGCTGAAACAATTTCAATGAAAATAAGAGTTGTTTCAGCCAGTGGCAGAAACAATGAAACATATTTTAATGAAAAGAAAACTTGTTTTGGCCAGTGCCTGGAAAAGAAAAAAGGTACATGAATGCATTATGGATTTAATGTAAATGACATTTTAAAGGTTTCGCCCCATCCCATTATCCCATCCATCCCTTACTCCACCCCCATCCGATCATCCAATCCATCTCCTAATCTGCCCGATCCATGATTCCATCCATTTCCTACTCTGCCCCATCCAATCATCCCATCCATTTTACTACTCCATCATTTGGTGTTGAAGAAAAAAGCTTTGAAGCAAAAGTTTGTTTCACATTCATGCCTCAGAAAATTGCATTAAGCCTACTGAATTGTCTTGAGAACATGGCTTGGGTTTGGGGGTCCAGTGATTTTCATAATTTTTATCATGTGCCCAAACTGAACACTTCCCAACAATCAACAACAAATATCACAACTTCATGGAATGACTCACGTCCCCCCCAAAAAAACCCCACACTTGCTATCCAACACAGAAAGAATGAAGGTTTCCAGACAGTGAGTAGAGAGAGGGTCAATTGCACTTTAATATGTACCTCCAGATACATCCATTGCCTCTGCACTGTAAGAGTCATTTCAATGACCTCCAGAATATGTGACAGTGTTCTCTCCCAATGGTCTACTTCCTTTTCAAAGGCTTTGACATATCGAGAAGCTTTCATGGTGGCAAGTGTGACTTGGTTGTCTTCCAGAAGCTGGAATACATCATCAGTTGACCTGGAATGTAGAAAAAAGACCGCTTCAATAGGTAGAACACCCCAACAAACAAACAACCCTGCAACAAACACACGTAAAACAGGTGTGTTAACCTTATGTACATTACCTAGTGTAGACTTGTGAACAAAAAATGTCCACACGATGCAGGAACTGGAGACGTTCTGTGGACTAACCCATGTCCACAGGACGTTTCCCCTTCTCTGAAAAAGAAGTTTAGAGGCTTGTTGGGGGTCAGGGTCATCTGTCGTAAACAGAAGATGAACTGTCAAGGAAACATTTTACAAAAATCCAGCTGAAAATTGTGTTCCCGATTCAAGAACACCGAGTATTTTCGCTGTGTTTCCTTAACTAGGTATATAGTGTAAGTATGAGTGAATGAACCCAGTAAATGAATAAACAAACACAGAAGTAAACTGGATCTTTGTTTGAACGATCTCTTTGCTCTGCATTCATGAGCCACTATATAATTCTACATATAGTCTGAATCATTGCCACAATTGTTTCTGCCTGTTGCCTCAGAAGCCCCCGCATGTATGTTTCCTTCGTCAACTTTGTTTGCTTATTGTTCAGCACTGTACACTGAATGCCTGTGAATATTTGTGATGGAAATGAGATGTCTGATGGAATTATACTGTCATTCCATGATCTTGTGTAATTAAATTTGCAGTAGCCTTTTCAAGCAGTAAAATCCATTGATTTCATCTGTTCCTCTATTAAAAAAAATTCTTGCACCTGAGGTTTGTATATAAAAGTGAAACCCATAAAAGTGAAGCCAGGGCTAAACTAAAGAACACCCTGATGATCACTGGCTTGCAATGGTTTTTTTAAAGACAGATTAAAGAACTTAAATGTGGTTCATGCTGTGATTTATTCTGTCACAGTAATTCATTATACTAACCGAAAGTGCAGTTGATGTTCAAACAGTACAGAATTCAGTAGGGTTTAATGGTGTCAATAAAAATCAGTTTGATTATCAAGGATTGGTACAGGATTGGTACTGTATGCATGTGGGGCATATCTTCAGAAAAACCCTTACAGGAAATATTTTCAGCCGTTTATGTTGCACTTTAAAGGTGGTGTACACCATTGGTAAAATCCTGAAAATCAGTCTACCGTATAATCCTAAAACATCTCACTTGAAAGAAAGAACATAATTCTCAATCAGTCTGTAAAATCTTTCCGCCTAGAATACTATAGTTTTCGAGAAAACAACAATTTTGTTCTGTTTTACGATGACTAGCCGACCACAGTGATAGAGTTAATTTCACTTCGCACATCACATCCTCTTAACAGGCACCAGTTTTCTTATACGTAGTATTTGCAGATATTGTGGGAGTCTCCATTAATGAACAGATAAACCTAAAAGCACCTAAAAACTATATCGAAATTCCTTCACCAAAAGCAATGTGAACTGAAATTATAGACTGGATATCAAGATTATTAATTTTTTTTTGCCTTTCCCCGAGGATACCCCCAAAAAAGTAGTAAAACTATGCGCTCAGCTTCGAATGTAGCCACCTGCCACTATAGATCCAAAAAAAGGCCCACAATTTGGGGCTTTTTGTGAAAGAAATACCCTAAACTAGAAACTATCAGTTCCAAGTTCGGGATTTATAGAAATATTTCTATGATTCCTCCTGATTATGGCATGTCTTATTGTAAAAACCCTGTGGGGCGACAAAATATTAATGATCTTGTGTGTGGAAATATTAATTAGCTTGTGTGCGGAAATACAACTATTTGGTGGAAAGCACACTGAAAGCCAATCAGAAAGACCTTCATCACAAGGCATATGCCTTGCAATAACAGTATCTTGTAAATTTAAACAATAGAGGGATTTCACATTAGCACCGTCTGCGCATATCTGTATCAAAACCGAGGCTCTCTGTGTTGGACTTCGTCACGTGCGCCCACGGGGTCCTCACAGTACATGGAGTATCCGGTTCGTAAGTGTGACGCCACTTCAGTTTAAACCACGCCCACTGCACAAAATACACGGCCATCGCAGGTGCGTTAATTCGTGGTCAACTGTCGTTATTTTTTCTTTTGATTTTACGTGTCGAGTCGTCTTGAAAGACTCTTCCACAAAAATTTGCTGCCTGAAAAGTCTGAATTTAACATACCTTTATGTATTTTGTATCTTAACTCCTTACTTTCAATCATCTGCTCCTATTAAGAATTGAAGCTGACACATACAGCCTCATTTTCAAGTGCGGAAGTGCGCAGATCGATGCTAAAAGCGTAGTATTGGGATCCCTCTATAAAGCACTCTTACTAACTTGAGTTTGAAATGGCCTCTATCTTTGTAAGGTCCCACATCCAGGATCGTTTCATCCCACGTTTCTTTAATCCCCTGGATGGCTTGCTCAATAGCCAACTCCTTGCTTGCAGCTGCAGAGATTTCAGAGACCTACAAAAATATAAATTGGAAAGTATAACTGCTTAGAAGTAAAACACACAAGCAAGCTGTCTTTGCAGAGAGCATATCTGAGATGTACTATTCATGTGCTATCAAATGCAAAATCTTATGTGTGAAAATGCTGTAATAATTATCCACAATCACATTTTAAGTTACAAAAATTATGTAGTGAATAGTTTCTTCTGTGGACACTGCATTCTCACACTTTCACGTAATCCTCATAAAATGTGTAATTAAAAGTTACAGGTCTAGTAGACAAAGATAGGCAGTAAAAAACCTAAAGGTCTTGATTAGAACTTGTCAGCAAATATTGAAAAACTGTACATGTAACCCAGTCATCACTAATGGTACAGAGTCAAGCCCACTTTCATGTCAAAGTTGTCAGTGCACATTTGGTTGTAAGAAATAGTAACTGGACCTCTGCAAAAGTACTCTTTTAAACCATTTTGCTTTCTCTTAATAAAAACTTGTGTCAATAAGAAAACTTATAAGATTTAGCGAAGGTTTTCAATAATAAGAACCAAAAGTGGAACAGAATACTTGCCACTTCTAGTTATGCATTAAATACTAGGACATCTATCTCATTCTTAATTTTAACCACTTCCTGCCATGGAGCCTGGTTTCGGGCACCATGTGTTTACACACCTGGCTGGGGTCTCCGAAATCGGATACAGGGAACTGGGCCTTGTAACAAAAGACCATTCTCGGAACAAAAGACCAGGCTGCTAGGCATTACCGACATTTTTTCACTCTCAATGGTGGAGAAAATCCAGCCTTGTTTTGAAACAATATACCACGGCTTGGGGCATTTAGTGCGAGCGGATTACCATCAGGGACAAAAGCGCTCCACCACCGCAGCGATGAGCCCCACAGCACTGCTGCACGCTAATCTGGCCCATATTGAAAAGAGGTCAGCAGTGCACTCTGCCAGGTTGGTGAACAAAAGAAAGTTACATAACACCACACAATCTGGGCTTGTTTTACAAGGCTGCAGGCCTAGCTGGAATACTCGGGCGTCAATGAATTTGTCTGTCAGACTAGAGTGGCCACCAGACAGTAATTCATGTGGGTGTAAACGTCCATTAATTAAAACCATGAATTTTTGAAGAATTTTGAACACTGAAAAATCTTGAAAAAGTCCTGATTATGTGCACTGCATTTTTCAAACCACCTGGCAGCAAGTGGTTAAGCATGGAAAAATAAATCCTAAATATTACCTTTTCAGCATACTGATCCAATCCCAAATCTATGATTTTTTCCAGGGTGAAATCATCAGCTTTATGGTCAAATGTCTTTTGCACTTCTTCTTGTAGCTGTTGCCAGTGCCGGTCACGCATGGCATGGTTATGAAGATCCACTATCAGAGGCATGGTGCGGCGGAACTGGTCAACTCTAGAACGTGACGTCTCCACAATCTCCCAATTCCTCTCCTGTAAATGCGTAACAAAATCTTCATTTGCCACACTTTTGTAACCTATGCACTGTTTTGGAAAGCAATGAGGAATAAGCTTGAATACAATGTGGTTCAGTCTGAAGAACTATTTCATGACCTAAGCCAATGTAGACCATTTATAAGAACTTGCTGATCATCACATTCATGTGCCTAATGTTGATTTTTTGGGGGGCTGCATATTCATGTGCTCAGCCTCAGAAAATGAAAGATGCTTGGTGATATGTGCAAAACATTACTGAGACACAAGTCTCAATATGAACAAAATGTGTTTCAACTTGGAAGTTAATGTAAGTTTGATAGAGAAAAGGTTTCTGAGCAATTAATCTTTGTGAGACATGAACCAATTTCCATATTTATAATTCAAAAAGGAAAGTGGTCTTCACAAACCTAAGCAATATCTCAATCAGTTGGAAATTGAATAATGATATCTCTAGGTACATGTACGTATAAATGTTCTGATGTGCAAAATACAAGTACATTAAAATCAAAACCGTACATTGACATAAAAACTACCAATTGTATACAGTTTCAAAATGAAAATACCATTATACAATTATACATAAATATACAGGACAAACACCACAACAATAAACCTTCTTAAATAAAAAGGTTTTCACTTTCTGTCATCTAATGTGACACGGTGTAAATGGTTCCAAACATAAAGCCCTGCCACCATAAATGCTCTCTCTGAATTTCTTATACGTCTTAGGGACGGCAACCATTTACACCCGGTTTGAAAAGGCTCCCCCCCCCCGGTAGCCCACCCGGTATAACGCCTGCCCGGTATTCAGGCTGCTCCAGGCCGGTATCAGGCCTGTCTGCACATTGGCATTTCAAAGTCCCTGATGAAAGGCTTCCCCCACCATGCTTCCACAGATGAATAGGGGTCTAAGCTGAAGGATTAAAAACCACAAGCAGGTTCCTTCTGGGATAGATTACATGTACCAGTACTTG